AATCATGTAGCTTTGAGCCATTCCCTTTCCACCCGTTAATCTACTGCCTTTGAGACTTGTTCTAACAGTCCAAGCCATTAATAGGTACAACCAGAAGAAAAAATTGAAACTTGGATGAGATTTTTAACTTAAAAAGGGTCAGGAATGTACATGTGTGAACTCCTGCCCCTTTCCATTTTTTCCCCAACAAACACTAATGAACAGCTTCCAGCTATTGACATTAAAAAATAATCATCCTGCCAAGGAAATGTTTCTTTCCCCAAACAGGGAAGGACTCCCTGAAGCTGTATCTCAAAATTATACATGTTTGATGGTAGCTCTTTGTCCTAAATTAGTGACACACTTATGTCTCTAGGGCAGGAAACAAAAAATTCACATCTTTCTGAAAAAGAAAGCTCCCTTCTTTCACGACATGCAATAGTATGGTCTGGCCCTGAAAGGCTCCTTTGTATCAGACATTAGTTGTAACAATTTAAAATACAGAAAACCAACTTTAAATTCCTCTAAAGGAGTGTATTGATTTGTGTTCATTGTATGAAGATCTCTGGAATCATGAAAAAAGTGGAAACGACTCACAACATAGTGAAAATTTGTGTGTGAAAAAGAGTATCAACAATACAGAATGGAGGTCATCAAAAAACTGATTTGGGCTTGGAAACTAGAGAGCACTGTGTTCCTCACTGAGATGCACAGTTCTGGCACTAACCTGAGGTATGTCCTTGGGCACGTCTGTTCACCTTTTTGTGATTCCAATTCCCATCTGTAAAGAGAAAATAACAACAGGTAACTATGAAGAACTTCAGATGACAAATCTTGCAGGATTCCTAGGATTGTTTACTCCCTAAGTTTAGCTTACAGGTCACAGTAGGGAGAGAATAATACAGATCATGCATTATCTGTGTAGTTAGGGGTAATGACTATTAAATGCTTTCTGTCAACTCACTTCTGCAACCCTATGGCGGCTAGAGAAGAGCACATTCTTCCTGTAATAAAGATTTGAAGGTATCAACTTTCCATCTTCACCAAGTTATTAGCAACAAATCATTACTTGAAGCAGCAATGGAAGAATAAATATGTTTTAAGACTCACAGTTGTGCAAATGAAAGCATTTATTCTAGTAGCTGACAACATGCAGAATAAGCCTACCTAGACTGCTTGCTCAAGATCTGTGTTAACGATTATTCATGGTGGGGAAGAGAGGCAGCTGTTAAATATTGTCTTTGTATGGAGTTATAGGAATAGCCCAGTGACAGAGAACTTTATTGTCAGCAGTAATTAGATGGGAATTTTAGGTACTTACTGTTCTCCTATTAGACTGAAGTCCTCAGGAATAAGTAAAGTATATTAATAAGTAAATAATAGTACATTGTTGCAATTACTCTTTGAGCATGCAAATACATTTTCATTTGCCCAAGTGTAGGAGTACATACTGGGAACAACTGTGATACTTCCAGCGACAGAAAGGAGATTCAATGTCTTTTAAAATAAGCTTCTCTGCAGAGAAGGACCTAGGGGTCCTGATAAATGACAGTTTGGCCATGAGCTAGCAGTGTGCTCTTGATGCCCAAGAAGGTCAGTGTTTTCCAGCAGTGTATTAAAAAGAGCATGGTCAGCAGGTCGAAAAACTTGATCCTCCTCCCTGGTGAGGCCACATTTGGACTACTGTGTCCAGTTCTGGGCTGCTCAATTCAGGAAAGACAGGGAACTTTATAGATAGAGTCCAGAAGAAGGCTACAAAGATGATTAGGGGCCTGGAGCAACCCCTTGTGAGAAAAAGCTGAGAGATCTGAGACTGTTTAGCCTGGAGAAGGCTGAGAGGGGATCTTACCAATGCTTGTAAATATCTAAAGGGCAGGTGACAAGTGGAGGTGGCCAGGTGCTTCTTAGTGGTGCTCAGCAATCAAACAAGGGGCAAGGGCACAAACTGGAACACAGGGAGTTCCATATCAACATGAGAAAAAAACTTATTTACTTTGAGGGTGACAAGGCACTGGAACAGGCAGCCCAGAAAAGCTGTAGAGTCTCCTCTGGAGGCATTAAAAATCCACTGGATACTTTCCTCTGCAACCTACTCTATGGAATCTGCTTCAGCAGAGGGTTAGACTAGATAATCTCCAGAGGTCACATCCAACCGCTACAAGTTCATGATTCTGTGATTCAAAACTATCCACTCATTTAATCGTGACAATTTTGTAAACATAGCTCAGGTCAGTACTTCCTAAATCTTTGGAATCATAAAATCATCTAGGTTGGAAAAGACCCTCAAGATCATAGATTCCAAACTATCAACCTGGCTTGCTGAGTTCTCTCACTAAATCACACCCCTTAGTGGCACGTCCACATGTTTCTTAAATATCTCGATGGTAGGGGATGCTACAACTTTCCTGAGCAGCCCAATCCAATGCTTTATCACTCTTTTTGTGAAGCAATTCTTTCTAATGTCCAATTTAAAGCTCCCCTAGCACAACTTCTGACAGTTTTCTTCTATCCTGTCAATTGTCATCTGAGAAAAGAGGTCAACACACTCCTTGCTGTGATCTCCTTTCAGGCAATTGTAGAGAGTGATGAGGCCCCCCCCTCAGCCACCTCTTCTTGACCCATGGATCTGCCGTATCAGATCGCTCTGCAGAGCCTCCTGCCTTCAAGTAGACCAAACACTCCCATCAAATTTGGTGTTGAATGTGAAATTACTGAGGGCAATAAAGGATAAAGGCAAACCGACAGCCTGCTTGGGATTTCTTGGGTCTATTTTAAATAAAATCAGATAATGCTCTAAGAAACTCACCCCTATTTCTCTAAAATTCAGATCGTAGCTCCTATCTGTGTGTGCTTGGTTTTCTAACAGTAGGACAAAAAGCTACAATCAAATATTTGGTCTGTTATTTTATCTACATTTTGTGATGGGTTGTTGTGGCTTAACCTAGCAGGTGGCTCAGCACCACACCCTCATTTGCTCATTCTCCTCCTTCCCAGTGGGACAGGGGAGAGAACTGAGGGAAAAAAAAACCCAAACAACTTGTCAGTTGAGATAAAACTATTTACTAAGATAGAGAAAAGGAAAAGGATTATAGTTATTGTTATATATCTATGTGTGAGTGTATATAACAAGTGATGCACAAGCAATTGCTCACCCTCCCTGATCGATGCCGAGACAGCCCCCTGAGCAGTTGGAGAGAACCAGATGAACTCCCACCTCCTTCAGAACTCCTTCTGTATATGGTATGAAATATCCCTTCAGTCAGTTTGAGTCAGCTGTCCTAATTCTGTTCCCCCCCCAGCTCCTTGGGTCCTTCTTTGAGAACTGGTTCTGTTTAGCAATCCTTAGCAGCAGCTATAAACACTGGTGTGTAATTAACATTATTTTTCTCCCAGAACTAAAAACATAGCAGGATACCAAACACTTCAAAGAAAACAATTCCATTCCAGACAAAAGTAAGACATGGGTAAAAACCCCAAGCCCACAGTTCAGATTCCCTTTTACAAATCTCTTACCCACTTACTTTGGATTGAAATGTCAGCTGTTTTGTGATGAAATGGAAAACTGTTTCCTGATCATGGCTCAATTGCGTTTTTAGACCTTTCAGTACTCTCAGAGTTCTATCTCCACTGAAATTTTAATAGTTTGGATTTCCATTCCTGTGACAGCAGACTCAAGAGCTCAAAGTTTGATTGAAAAATGGGGTCAGGATAGGACTGAGTGGTGGCTGAATTAATTCTGCAGCAGAACACCCTCAGGTAATGCTTAGAGTATAGAAGGACAGGCTCAGAGTGCTTGTGAGGATAATGAAAAATTAAGGATGAGGGTATACTGGGGGGCATTTTCAGTTTCTTTTCCGAGATAAGCTTTGTTGTGGTTTGCATTGAGTGCAAGATTGCTTGTTGAAAGTTTGATAATTTCTTCCCCTAGCCTCATGATATCTTTAGTAATAGGAAATGATCATACTTGTGAAGTGACAGAGTCACACATTCAAATATGATTTAAGGATATTTATCCTTGGAAAGAGAGGATGTAATTTTTTTTTCTCTCTCTAAAGAACAAGGGAATTCCAAAACTTTCAATATTGCAGAAAATTTACATTGATTGCAATCCTTAAGAATCTTGTTAAAATTACTAGACTACAAATGAGTACACCAGCTACAGCTGCTCTTAGATTATCCAAATGATTTCCAATAAGACACAGCTTAAAGACCTCAGAGGCTAGGAAGAGCAGCTTCCAGAGCAAAGAAGAGTAAGTATCAGTGAGGCCAAGAGATAAACTTGAAATAATAGGACTCTAATGAAAGCACTGACTGAGAAGTGTGCTTGCTGCATGCTGTATTTATTGAGATGCTAACTGGATTACAGAAACGCTCATTTATAACTCAGAATTTTTTTTCCAAAAAGAAAAGGTATGGTAGATCAACTACTTCTTGCACTGGTTAGTCTGCATTTAGGTGACAAGCTGACACAGAAAACTGAAAATGCACAATCCAAAATCACTTCTCTCACAATACAGTGGCATTCCTGGGCCTAGGAGCAGGTAGGAGCAAAACAGCAAGCCAAAAGAGGAAGAGTGCTGCTCCTAAGAGTGAGAAGAGATGAAGCTCACTGAGTGTAGTTTCCTTAGGGACCAAGCTTGGCCAGCAGGAACTCAGAAACTGCTGTTTGCGCTTTCCATGGTGATGGTATAGGAAGATGGCTATTCCTATATGTGCTCTTGGTAAAGGAGCATTTCACCTCTAAGGAAGTCCATTTCTCCCTCTGATGGGAGTGGCCCTGCAAAGCCCCAAGCATAAGAAGGCTCCATATTTCAGAGGGTGGGCTTGCATCGTCTCATAGGTGTTCCTGAATGCTGCAGAGGCACAGAGGAGGCTTCCCAAGGTTGAAGCCATCAAACAACTGAGTTTCCTGTTTGAACATTGCCGTTGTGGTTTCACTCGGCTGTACATCACGTGCCATGCAGGGAGGAGGAGAGAAGCTGTGTGAGCTGGTGATGGTGCAGATTGCCCTGTGTGGACGCCTGTGGCGTGAAGCCCTGGGGGACTTGGCAGTGCCTGGAGGGTGGGGACAAGGCCACAGGCCCACCATCATCACCATGCTGGGGATCCTCGTGGTGCTCTGCCTCATCCCTGCTGCAGATGTAACAGGTAACAGAAAAAATATGATTGTTTCCACGATTTTTCAACATTTGTATCATAGGAGAGGGGAGACAGTAGACAGTCTTGTACAGATCTGGATTAGTTTTGCAGAAATTATGTTGCATTTGAACATGAGAGAAGAGACAAAGCATGCTGCTGAGACTGCTTATGGATCGACTCAGTATAACCAGGAGGTTGATTTTTTTTCTTCCATGAGTATCCCTCCTAGACAAGACTCAAGAGATATCTATTTAATCTGCAACCTCTTCAGATGCATTTGGAAACTGCTTATTTAGAGAGAGTTTATTTCACCTTTCCCTAGCCTGCACGGACTGTGCTTTGTGGCTTTCAACATCTGCTGGGGGGATCTGAGCAGAGCTGGTGCTGCGCCCTCTGGGGCCACCTCCAAGCCTGCTGTGGTCAGCCCTATGTCCCATTGTGTGCCAGCTTGGTGTGACGGGCTGCAGAGCTGAGCCCACCCGAACTCTCATAGCATCAGCAAGTGAAAGGAACAACAGTAGAGCTGCTTACTGAACTCAAAGTTAGGAGGATCGGAATTGCCGACTAACTGATTTTTGCATTATTTAGTAGTTTATTGATAATAACTAGATATGTTGCTTCTTTCTGAAAATATTTTTGGTAACACAAATGCCTAGTTGTGATTCAGGAATACAGCATCTTAGTAAATCCTTCTGAATCTTCAGTTACCTGGCTGCTGTCTTTCGCTGATGCAGTGTTAGTGCGTTCAGAGCTACCACGTCTCTCCAAGTAGTACATCAAAATGCAAAGCAAGGCAAAGGGTGATGGGTTTTGCTAGGATAATCTTGACAATTTTTCAAATCTCTAGCTTGTGAACTGTTGTTATTTGGTCTCCTCCAAATATCAGCGTGTTGTATTTTATGAGGAATTTACAGGTAGGAACAAAAATCTGTTTTCCAGTACAAATCTTTCACATACAGAATATCTTTAAAGAGTTGCTTTTCTAATACAAGAGATAAAACTCATTATATTTTTCCTAAATTGCATGTTGCTTTTCTGTAGTTCTAGTCCTCATGAAAGGCAATGTGATTTGCATGAAGCCTTGATCTATATTTCTTTAAGAGCTGATAGGCTCTTTTTTCCTTGTCCTTTTTGAGTTTTCATAATTCTCTGCTTGCAATATGGTAATTACTTTCACAGAAGGCCACTGGGTTGTCTGAGAAGACAATAATTCTAGGAGGGGATAGGAAGCAGTGATAAATTAATAGTTTTAAAACCATTTCCATGAGAAGTGAACATCTTTTAAACAACTCTTGAATTGCAAGAAAATACAACGTGTGTTTATCAGACACCAGGGTCATGCCATGATTCTCTAGACATCCGTTTACTTGCTTTGGGTTAAGAATTTCTACAGCAGCTTCATTGAAACCATTCAATTGCTTGAACAGAACCATGAGTTAGCTTACTTTTCAGGGCTTTCACCTATTTCCTTGTCTCTTCTTTTCATTTTGATGCTGAGATGAATGATCCTTGCTACACAGACAACGTTAGGACAAGTAAAAGCCCTGCAGAACTTCCTCAAACCACAAAATGTACTTTGTTCTGGTGAAGACAACTGAATCTATCCTGTCATGCTTTTATTAGGCTGCACCACTGAGTCAAACTCAACGGCAAGTTGAGTTTGAATTGTGGAACCGTAAAGCTGGGAAGAGACTTACAAGATTGGATTGCTTATTCCCTCTTTTCAGTAGTATCGGTGTTTACAAAGCCTGTCCCTCTCCACCCTCATCATCCGCTTTCTGTCAGCTAAGTAACAGAAAACAGAGAGGCTGCTAAATACTTGGCTATCTGTTTATTTTGTGAAATAAAGTAATGTAAGAATGTTCCCACTGCAGAGGACCCCAAATGACCTCATCTTTTCAGTGCTTGCATAACATCCTGGCTGGTGTTAAAATCAATCTCTGAGTGCTAAAATCAGCCTCAAACCCACCAAGGTTACCAGAATGCAAAATGCAAGGCTAGCTGAGATTAGGATGACATCAACAAATTCTGGCTCAAAAACATCACAAACAGACAAAAGAAACCCCCGCGTTCAAACTAAGTTTAATTTCAGCAAGAATACTTTGCTTGGTGCAGTATTTGCATGAATGGAGTAAAAGTTAGTACAAAGCCAGTCTATCACATTAGAAAGGGTAGATCCCTCCAGCTCTACACATAGACACAGCGTAGACACCTAAAACTGAAGTAACAGAGGAAGACTTTCACCTGGGAAAGAGTAAAGGCAACTGAACAACAAACCAGCAGCTGAAGAAACAAACAGCTTTGTTTATAACGTAGCTGTGTGTCTTTCCACTTGTGGACTAAATAAGCTCTTTGCAGGTTTCCCTCTCCACCCCCTCCAGCAGGGACTTAAGTGGGCCATTTCTTTACTGTGCTTAGAGAAATCCCAACTTATCCCAGATTCCTTGCTCTGGCAAATAGCTCCCTGAAGCCAACTGGCATGAAAAAGAAAGAGAGTACAAAATATTTTTAACATAATATTTTTTTCCAATAACTGATAATGATTCATGGAAAGTTCTGGAAAAAAAAAAAAAACAACCAACCTTCAAAATAGTTAGTTTCCATACTCTGTCATCTTTATTTCACTTTCTTGAGTAAAAAAAGAAAAGAAAAGAAAAGAAAAGAAAAGAAAAGAAAAGAAAAGAAAAGACCTTCAATGGAGCTTTGCTTGCATGAAGGGTCTGTGATTGAGGAGGTAGTGTTTTTCAGAAAATATATATGAATTGGACCTCTTTCATGAGGCAAAAAAAACCCCACTTGTGGTTATAAGATATGATTAGCACGACAACATACAGAAAAGCTTAACAGAGATCTTGCACACCATTGCTTATAAAACCTACAGCCTTGAGACACATCAAAATGTTCTTACATTTCTAGACATTACAAACTTTTGAAACTGGACAATGATTTTCATATCTGCCATTTGCTGCCTGAGGCCAAGACAGATATTTATTACTATATAGCACAACTGAAGACCGCTCTGGAAACAGCAGTTATAAACCTATTTAGGGGAAAATGTGCACTATTAGAAACATATACTGGATGTTTCAGAGTTTCACTGTTTTCATAAACCCAAAGAGACACAAGAAAAACTGTCTTTGTGAAGACAAAAGCAGCTTCAGCTCAAGTTTGTTCAGAATGATTCAGATTCTACTAAGAATATGCTCAAATCCTATTCAGATCAGAAATCAAGTAAGGGTTGTTTGGCCTTACTTTGTTTTCCCCACAAAATGGGGAAATGACTGACTTTCTTCAATTTGAAAAACTGTGAGCTTGGAGACGCAGGATAACAGCAGGGCCTGACATGCCTGTGGGGCGAGCTTGCCTTGCCTCAGCCCTGCCCTGTTCACTAATTAGTTCCTATAAATGGAAAACAAAACACCTTCAATCCATTCAGATTTTACATGGTAGCGCCACTTTGCAAAAGCAGATTTGGTGTAAGTTTGGCTTAAACAAATCACTTAGGAGCAGCCCTTATTTAACAATCCACAAATAAACTTCTTCCCATTGTTTAGTTATCTCAGCACCAACAGTATGGGGCTGGGTCATCAACACTCAGCTGCCATGGTGAGGCAAACAGGCTGGGCCAGAAAGCCAAGATGTAAGGTGATGGAAAGTATTTTTTTGGTGGATGCATCAAAAAAGTTTGTTTGCCAACAAACAAAATATCACAGCAGGGACATAAATAGTCCAGAGCTGTAATTAAATAGCAGAGCTCATGATGTGAAGCTATGTACTACTATACACCAGGAATCCAGACTAGCAAAAGTTCAAGGTAAGTCTCTGGGTTCTGCAGAACAGTCTAAAAAACATCTGGAGGTGGTCTCTCACTGACACTATTTTCAGTGTTGTCTTTCCTCTGGCCTTAGTGATCTGATCAGGCTATGTGATAAACGTCCATCTGTTTTTCTGTAAGAACTTGCAGTGACAAAAAGGTACTTATTTGTAAGTACCTACAGCAAAAAGCAAGCAAGTATTTTTTTCTGAGCCATAGTACTTCTGCAACTATCTCTTCAAGGCTGCCTGTTTCGGATATAAACTATGAAGCAGAAAAACCCCTTCCGAAGGTGTGTTCAGCTGCAATAGCCAGAGCTGTAGTGGTGGGCACTGGTGGGGTAAAATTCAAAACAATTCTGTCCCAAGTGAGATGCTTTGAGTTCTGCTTTTTTAACCAAAGAACAATTCCACTGCAGACTTGTACCTTCCCACTTGGGCTAAAGTTTGATTTTCTAGAAAAAAATGATATGATCAAATAGCCTGTCTAAAGAAGTAGAATGTGAACCTCACTCTTTACTAGAATGCCTTATAGGCCTAGGTGAGAGCTTTTGTTGGAAAATGCTGATTCAATGAAACTGAAATATTTTGCTGAAATGTCTTCACTGCAATGAGAATCCACCACAGGCAGCACCTTCAGTAGGAACCAGCCTTGTCTGCTGTTACTTCCAGCCTGCTCTGGGATTCCAAGATCCTGGGGCCTTTGTACTGGAAAGAATGGAAATGCTCACTCTTCCCCAAAACAAAAAGTTTTAGTGTTTGGATTCCCTGCGAACATGAGATTTCTGAGCTGTGATAAGCTTTGCTGCAATCCTCAAGTTAGCTACACTGAACAGAGGGACACAAGGAGGTTGGGCTGCAAACTCCTTCTTTGCTAAAGATCCCCTGTCTCATATCTTCCTGCTCTTATGAGAAGAAAGGGCTGGTAAACATGAATTTTGGTGAGAAAATGAACAACTTCAGCAGTTTCATGGGCTGGGCTGGTTCTTGGAGAACCTGTTGGGCATGGTTTGTTTTTACTGCCCACACCCTGCAACTAGTTCTGACCAACTCACACATCTCTGTGTGTTCATTCCCTGTTCCAGTCTTGTGCGTTTTATGTCTTACAATTATTGCTGTGCCAGGGCATACCTTAGCAGAGGGCTTCTGGCTCAACTTCCCAATAGGCCAACAAGTGGATGGAGCCAAGGTTTTCACTTCAAATTTGTTAGACCCACACTCAAGTCCATCTTTTATTTTGATTCAGAGCAAGGATTACACCCGAATCTCCCATGTCCCTGTGAATGCTGTGACCACCATGTAAGTTCACCATCTTCACTCACAGCTCTCATAATGAAAGCTGTGCAAAAAGAAGTAGTTTCAAAATGGAAAATGTGGCTTCACAACACCCGTGGATATACGTGGTAGTATCTGGTGTGGATATTTTCTGGATGTATGTAAATAACATGTCAATTTTATGAATGCATTTGTTTCATATGTCTTTTGGTGTGTGTGTGTGTCTCTGAAAGCAGAGCATATGACTAGACCACATGACTTCAGTGGCCTCTTTCAAGCTAATGTTCCTGCTGCCCTCTAGAAGCCTAGGCTCCCAACAGCCTTAAGGGAGGCATGCTGAAATTCTTGACCTGAAACTGAGCATGGAAATAAACCTGTGTACCATTCACCCCGTAGGAGTGTCCTCCCAAGAGGTCAGGGTGGTCCCTCTTCCTATACATCTAGGAGCACACTAAGTGCATCCATGTAGTCCTAAATATTAAGTATATTGAAACACTTGTTTCCCGGGCACTGTAAATCTGCCCTCCTTCCTGCTCTGTTTTCCTTTCTATCCTCTTAAAGTATCCTCACATGGATTAAGTAGAATGAATGCAGGTTTTACAGCAGATTTTGGAGAGACGTACAGTTGCCATTGTCTCAACCACAGCAATTCTCTGTGATCCATCAAAGGCTGCTAAGAACTCCTGCAACTTGGACTTGCATGGAGACATATGCAATGGCATGCATACACAAAAGCACTGTCCCTGCTTCCGGCAAGTTCCTAGCTTAAGAACCACAGCTCGCTTCCTCTTATTTACAGGTCACCATTTGAAAAGTCTCATTTGTACAGGGTGGATTTTCTGGAAACAGTTGTCTTTCTGCACAGTCTGAGCCGTGGTTTATTGTTTGGCAGGTAGTAGCACAGAGTTCTGCATGTCAGAAAACACTTTCTGTTTACATATGGGTTTGGTCAATCCAAACTGAATTGCATCTTCATGTGACATGCTTTTTTACAGGCCATTCAAGTGCTAAGCGCCAGTACGGTGTCAGATTAGTCAGCCTAAGTCGTTTGAGTGATTAAGAATCTGCTACCGCTGATAGCTAGAGAAATGACTTTTTTAAAATTGAAATTATACCAGTTCTTGCTTTTGTGCTTCTTGTCCAAGGGCCAAGTACTTGAAAAATTTCACAAAATTCCACTTGCAAACTTTTCAAGTCTGTCCTTGAACTAAAAAGCAAAGGTATGAATAATATTCTCTTATCTGATTACTTGACTGAGCATTTAATTCATGGCATTTTCACTCCATACTGCTCCCTGGCATTCTGCATGCTAAGGAACAGATAGACCAAGATAGTCTTGCACATGTATACACACTAACAAACAAAGTAGCCTTGTGACCCTTGACTTTAAATCTTCCTCACACGGGCCACTTTCTCTCATAGCGTTCTGACTCTGTGGAAGAAGACCCTCAACCTCACAGTCTCCCCTGGTAACAGTGAAATTACTTGTATATAGAGAGAGGATAGTTGCAATCAGAGCTTCCTTGAGTAACTGCTTCTACCGCATGGTGTTACATACTGCCTAGCAGGGAGCGCCAACAGAGAACAAGAGACATGGAGACAAGCTGAACAGGAGGCTGTGTGGTTCTGAAGTCTCTTAATATATCTTGCAAACAAGTGTTTTTCTTCCCTCCCTTTCAGAAAACAAGATTCTAGTGGCTCAGAGTCCTTTGCTCATTGTAGCTAATAGGACGGCAACTCTAGTCTGCAACTACACATATAACGGAACAGGGAAGGAATTTCGAGCATCACTGCACAAAGGAACAGACAGTTCAGTTGAAGTCTGCTTTATTTCATGGAACATGACCAAAAGTAACAGTAATTCAAATAAAGAATTCAACTGTTGGGGAAATCATGATAAGGACAAAGTAATCTTCAATCTTCGGAATATGACTGCCAGCCAAACTGACATCTACTTCTGCAAAATTGAGGCCATGTATCCGCCTCCATATGTCTATAATGAGAAGAGCAACGGGACTGTCATTCATGTGAGAGGTAAGCTGAGAACCTGTACACCAGTGTCCTTCCTATACACACTCCCTACGTTTTGGATTGAGGCAGAAAAAATAGCTGGGTTGCCTCTCAAAATGAGAATTCCTGCTCCTGATTTCTTAAGAAAGGCATCTTAAGCAGCTGTATGATAAGATTAATACAGGTGGTGTGCTGGAATGAGGAGTAAACAAGCTTTGAAGTGCTTAAAAGTTTTCTTTGTTCTTTTAAAGAGACACCCATCCAGACACAAGAACCCGAGTCTGCAACTTCGTACTGGGTTATGGTGGCAGTGACAGGACTTCTTGGTTTCTACAGTATGCTTATAACTGCAGTCTTTATAATCTACCGGGTAAGAAACTATTATCCTTTGCTTTATGTGCTCTCTGCCCCTACCATGCTCTTCAACTCTCATGTTATTCTTCCCATACTTACCACAAATCCACTGATATCTCTCACATTAAGATCACAGTGCTTCTTCAGCCCAGATACATACTCACACCTGTGCTATGCCCCAAGAAAGCTGAAACGCCAGATGCACTCCCGATAGGCAGCCAGCCTCTTCAGTAGAGTCCTATGGCAATGTCAATGCCTCAGCAAAGCTGGGACACAATCTCCAATTCCAACTAGTTTTCCCTGTCAGGGAAATATCTCTCTACAGTCACTCCTGCCAAACCCCTTTGAGATGAGAGGAGCTCGCCTACAGTGAAACAATCTTCAGAGAACCCTCAGTTGGCCCCAAAACATCCACACCAGTGTTTTGTGCCTATGCAGCAATTCCCTCTCGTACACACTTTTTCTGACAGCTTGATTTCAATAGAACAGGGGCACCAGTGCATTGGTAGTAATTTACCCTAAGAAAGCAGAGAGAGTCTTGCAGTTCTTTATTTTTTTGTCTAATCCCTCTGGAGATTTGTCTGGCCCAATTTGCATCCAGTCCAGCTTGGTTCAATACACAGCCTTACTGGAGTAGGGAAAGCACGAAGTGTGGTGCAGAGGTAGCAGAATGCCACCTTCTAGCACAGGTCTTAGGGTCACCATCTCCCAGAGATGATTTCACACTTTCTGCTTCATGTTGGGAAGATTTGAAATATGACCACAGAGAGTTCTGTTCCTTGCACTCTGTCTCTCCTTGTATCACTGCCATTAAATAGTGTCATTCAACACATTATGAGGTAGTCTGTATAAAGGGTGCAGTCTTTCTGACAGGCCACATGCTGCACGTACACAGAAAACCACTCACACTACTAGCTGAAACTTGAGCTTTCTTAACTGTTTCACAAAAATACACTTGTTCGATATATGCATATTTCTGATGGTTAACAATCAAATTGGACATTGCCATAGGAAAATACAAAGGCAGGTTATGCGGTCCCTCAGTGCCTTGCTGTAGAAAGGAGACAGGAGACAGGAGAGCTGTGAAAGGATTACAGCAAACAGCTGCTGGTGTTACCGTGCTGTGCTACAGTAGCTGTGCCTGGATGAGATACCATAGCTTCCAATCCATCCTTTAGGATCTGAAACCATTTTCTCTCTGCTCTTTTCACTTGGTACCTAATGGTTATGCACTGCACTACTAAGATGTCTGCTCCCAGCATGACTGACAAGGCTGCACTGTGATGCATGCTGCTTCCTGCATCAATTTCACCTGCTGTTATCACTGTTGGTGCTATTCTGATAACGTGTGCTCCAAGTGTGGATGTACTTGGAGTGCTGTTGAATCTAAACAAAGCTGCCTGGAAGACATTGTAGATGCTAAAATGAGGTCCTTAAAATGGTATTTGACAGCCAAGGCAAGTCTGTTTCACTTAAGTTCCTGAAAGCAACTAAAGATGTGCTAACTCTTACAGTTCTGTCTTCCCTGGAGGAAAACTTCCTCTCGAGAAGCAGCTGTATTTCATCCTGGAATAATCCAGAACTCACTCATGCTAGCAAAATATATTTCTCTCATGTGAAATTACCTCTTAGATATTAATAGATGAATTAAAAATGTTTTTATGGAGGTAAACACAGAGAAAACTTTTCTATCTAATGATTAAATGCACCAACTGCACTGCATGGCTTAAGTAGCACATAATTTCCATTCAACCCCTTGCATATATATAACATTAACATCAAAAAGCTCTAAGTGTCTCATAGAAATTAACTGCTTCCCTCTGCATGTACAGCTGTTAAGTTTCTGATACAAGCCTCCTCCAATTCCACAGCATCACATGCATATTGTGCTATATGCAATATATTCATATACTATGTATGTATGTGTATGCCGGAAGTGTCAGTTAAAACACTGTAAGAAAAAGTATAATCAGCATTAAGGAAAAAGAATGAAAGCACTTTACCTAGTTCCTGTAAGAAGGCCTTCATCTGTGCAAGAACAATAACCTCATGCACAGCCTGCAGGAACCACAGGTTCATACACTGCTGTAGCCACAAACTTCCTCTATCATGATAGGCAAATGATTTCATCTGCCTTCTGCTGCTCTCGTTCCTGAAGGGGATGCTTCCCATGTCTCACAGGGGCACTGCGAGGCAGGGATTCAACATTGGAATGAGATTTTTAAGGCTCTGTTAATGAGACATATGAAAGATTAACAGCAGCTCTGGTTCTTTTTCCTCTCAAAGGGATGCCCAGAACAACATATACATTATGCATTTCTACTGTAAGTGGTAGGCAAGCCATGATATGTAGGAGTAGCTCCAAAAGTAATGCCTCCAATTTTATTATTGTCCAAAGTTATTATTATCCAAAAGTAAAGCCTCTATTTTATTATGTTGGCCCACAACACCAGAGGCAGATGTTGGTGGTACAGCAGTAGAGGTTGAACCTTCCTGTCATTTCATTTTGTTGCCATGAGACAGATGGCAGCAGAAGGACAGTCTAACAAAATGGTGTCTGACATGGAAGTGTGTATGAAGCAAAGGTGTGTCACTGAATTCCTCTATGGGGAAAAAATGGCACCCATTCACGTTCACTGATGTTTGCTGAATGTCCCTGGAGACCAAACAATGGATGTGAGCATGGGGAGGTGGTAAGTTTCAACAGAGGAAACAGTGACATGGAAGAGAGGCCACGTTCCGGACAGCAATACGCAGCTGTCACATCACAAAATTAAGGTCATCTTGATCAGCTCATCAGCACTAATTTGGTGGATTACAATCTGGGAACTGCATACAGAGCTGAATATCAGCCTCAATGCATTGGAAACAATGGTGGCTGTGTTGAAATACTGCAAAGTTTGCACCAGGTGGGTCCCACAAATGCTCACACAGGACCACAAATAACAGCGTGTGCAAGTTTGCCAGGATCTATTGAAGTAATTTGAGACTGAAGTGGCAGCTTCCTGGACACTTCACTACCAGTGATGAGACATGATGACACTGCTGTGAGCTGAAGTCAATATAGTAGACCACTGAGTGGAGATATGAATTATCCATAGAATAAAACGTTCAAGGTACAACTCTCTGCAGGAAAAGTGATGTGCACTGTCTTTTGGGGTAGGGCAGAGGTGATCCTCTGGATTTCCTGGAACCCAGACAAACCATCAACTCTGACCACTACATCATGACACTGAATAAGCTGTAGACTGGAGCTTCCAGAGTCAGGAGAACAGAAAAGACGACAACCTTTCTCTTGCAACACAGTAATTCCAGGCCCCTTACCAGTTTGAAGACTGTAGAGAACATTTCTCATCTTAGAAGGACTGCCCTATCATACCCACTTGTATAGTCCAGTTTTGATGCCTTCTGACTTCCATCTCAGGCCAATAAAAGATGAACTATGTGGGCAACATTTTCCTAACAACAATGCCATTATAGTGGCTGTGAAACAGCGTGTCACCTCTACTAGTGCTAACTAGTGGTGACTGTGTTGAAAAACAGTGTTTTGCAGCTGAGAATTTGCTCTATCAAATAGTGCTATTGTGCTATTTGTATGTGTTGTAGCTTCCATGGAAATAAGCAGAAGGCATTGCTTTCAGAGCATACATACATAGCCCAGGCTGATTTTTTCCGCTCTTGTTCTCTTCCAGTTAAGCCAATTTCTTTTCCTTCCTAATAAATTAGGGCAATCGTCACTGCTCAAGGCTGTATTGTTTCTGCTGAGTCATTCCCTAGCAGAGAACTTGCGGTGGGAGAGATCAGTTTGTATCCTTTGCCTGCAGCATTTCTTCACCTGGAAAACTGACACTACATCTCTCAGCAGATTAGCTGGACACTTACACTCAGGTTGGGCTTATTCTACGGATTATTTTATGAGAACGTATGTTCTTTTATAACTGCTTTCAAACTGGAGGCTTTCTTATAAATATGTCTGCTTCCCTGAACCAATCCAGGACCAGGACTGCCAGCAGCTGAAATATCTGAAGGTTAGGTAAGATGACTTGTTAACTCGAAGAAAAAATCAAATGCATTATTAACATTTCTCATGTCTTATTAACACTCAAAAGTTCTCTGCTCTCCTCCCTGTTTTTTTTCCCCCTTTTAGGATGTTCACCACAGATAGGACAGACTAATTGCAGAAATGGTTTCATGCTTCTCTCACCCCTTCTCCCACAGCAAAAATCCAAGAGGAACAGGTACCGTCAGAGTGACTACATGAATATGACCCCCCGGCATCCACCTCACCAAAAGAACAAGGGCTACCCATCCTATGCACCAACACGAGACTACACTGCGTATCGCTCCTGGCAGCCATGATACCCACCAGCATAACACCACTATCCTCATGTGCTTCTAGGCAGTCACCTGCTCTTGGAATGGAAGGACAGCCTGTCATTTCCTCATCGTGTTTGTTACAATTGACCATGGATACCTACACCACAGCAAGTATTGGCTAAACTTCACTATTCAAAGATAAAAGATAAACATAAAAAGGGGGGAAAAAGACAAAAAAGGATTGTTTTCCATGATGGCTGAAAACGTGGTGTAACTTGTTTTGAGGTTTGTCAGTGGGTAAGAAAGAAGGATGGCACTGGACCTCAGAGCAGGTCTCCTCCTAACGTGTGTGGGTTTTTTTGAGCTGCTTGAGGAACCTGAACCAGAACCACAACTTCTGACCTTTCCCAACAACCACTGCCTTAGCCTTAGCCTGTTATTTCTTTTCCTGCATGTTTAATCCTCCAAAAACACTGTTGCTGTGAAATAAGAAAAAATGAAAAAAAAACCTAAACAAAATGCTTCCCTCTGAGCCCAGAGCAGAGTTTGAGATTTGAGACAAATGTTCAAAAGAGTTGGAAAAGTCAGTCAGAACGTAGCTGAGCAATTAGGCTATAGCACAAGTGGGCTGTCAGGGCAAAGCAAGATTGAAAGAAAGCTACTTAAGCATTCAGCATGTGAGTCCTTAGATTGTTCACTTTTGGTTTGTAAAGAGCATTTGAAGTCATAACTGAGCTACTCCACAGAGTGAGAAACCAATCCACCTGAAGAAGAAATCAAGACAAGTTGGACTGTGAGAAAGATTTGCCGTGACCACAAAAAACCCCAGTTCCTATGCTTGCCTACAGCAAGATGATTGAAGTCATATGGTGAGCATTAGATGACACCAATGTCATATTTGGAGCAGAGCTTTACCTCATTTATGAATTTTTGTTTCTATCAATAAGGCACTTTGTTGAGTCCTCCTGAATATTCATCCACTTCTTCTGGCACCTATGTTGTACCAGAGCTCCTTTGAGAATCAGAGTTCAGTTATGAGCAGCTAAAGACCACCTGAACCTTTTTTCCCATAAGCAAGCAGTGTTTTTGGTGTGAGAGTGTCCTCAGGTCCTACCACTGTGACCAGCGCCCACGTCTGCTCATTTGCTTGCCGGGACTGCTCTAGGCACTTTGAACTTCGTGCTCACTGAAGGTTATTTTTTATCTAAATATGTTCTTCAGGGATGCTCCCTACTGGAGTAGGGTAAAGTCTTCAACAAAGGCCTGTATCATTCCATTAATTAAGCATGTTTACATTAACAAGGCATCCTAAACTGTAACTGGGGTTGTTTTAGCATAAGATTCTTTTTCATACAGAGAAGATGAGATGTATTTTATAGGGATTACTGAATAAACAATTAAATGAAAATTACATCCATACTTCCACTTAGAAATAAAATTGGGATTGTTCAACATTTACTTTCCTCCAAATCAAGATGAGAACATTCTTCCTCTCTTTGAGGGGAGATGACAAAAAAATAGAGATGTGGAAGTGTGGCAACAACTCGCTTTGATGTCTTAACCCAAGTAAAGCTTTAGGCACTTCCAAATTGGAAGTTTTATTTGAGTTTGCTGACCAGGCCCTGGGCCATTCCTGCAGAGTCACATTACCACAAACTGTGCTCCTAGCAGATGCTGTGGTCAGGTGCTTGCTGTCCCCAACTGGGTGAACTCTGCCAAGGAGGCCCTGGGTGACACCACAGGCTGTATGGCTGGCCTTGGCATCACCAAAGGCCTTCCCAGAAGAGCCATGCTTGGCCAGCCATGCAGCTCATGGTGGCGCTGGTAAGAGAGGCTTAGATGCCCACTGCCAGCAGCAGTGCTGAGTGTCTGGTACAGGACCGCTGTCTCAGACCCAGCAGGCTCTGAGACTGCCCCTCCCTATGGCTTTGCACTGCAGCCGTGTCAGTAAGGAGCATGTGCAAGGGCGGAGGGGAAGCAGCCAAGCAGAACCCACACAAGACCCTACACAGTCCTGGATTGACCCTCCTCAGTAGCCCTGGCAGCAGGATGCCAGCGCCTCGCCACATCCCTTCATGCTCTTTGCAGGGAGCTGCAGGCAGGCACAGCCCTCTGCCAGGGCACAGCTTTATCTTGCCTGGCTCAACACTATCCACAGCACCCCTGTTGTGTAATGCAACATTAACAAGTGCTCAGATTGTGATGCAGTGTGAAAAATCACATCTTCCAGTGCAAATGTAAGGTGAGATTGCGCATGTACACTGAAAACGTAAGTGAGGGTCAATGATCTTCATTTAATCTGGGTATGTATATTTTTACATGCAGATGTGTCAGATCTACATTCCTTAGAGTTTTATTATATATTTTGCAGTCTCCCTTTAAAATTATTAAGTGAATATGGTAAATTAAATCTTAAATAAATGCAGTGTGCCTGAGGCCTGTCAGTGGAAATTATTTCTTTCTAAAGCAAATGTGGTATAATTTGTTTTCCTCCCTCTAACACTTTTGCACTCTCCATATTTAAAGTGTATCAATAGCTCCCAAGGCATGATACTGGAAAGTAAGACATGGAATATGTGGTACAAATATCAGTTCTGTTGATTGACTGAAAAGAAAGGGAGATACAAGGAAACATCCTAAATGAATACTGAAAAAAAATGAAGTGAACTGGAACAGGAAAAGCCTAAGCTCTATGTCTAAGTGAACACTATCACTATTTTAAAGCACTGCAGTGACACGATTGCAGCTTGTTGGAGATGAGATACTAGTAAATACCTTTTATCCACCATTGTGAGGGACTGAGAGAAATGGTTTGCAGAGAATCAAGCCAGTTAAGCCTTAAGAATGGCTCTGCATACGTGGATTAGCATATATGACAAACAGAGCCATCCTAATTTATTCCATCTGGTCTCAGGCACTGAATAACGTGCCAGGACAGTCCTGGCTCTCCCTGACCCTGTCTTTGGGGTCTGTACGCTGTTTACAGGATGATGTAAAGAGAATCCTCCCTCCGCTGCTGCTCTGAACTTGGAAACTGGCCCTCCTGGAGGGCAGTGAGAGATCTATAGGGTTTTCTGCCTTGCAGACAGGGCTTAATACAAATGCAAATATCATCCTGCTGAGCAGTGATTTAATTTTTCATCCCCCTATCCTTCATGTTTGGATCTCAGCGTCAAATGAGCATCTGAATTGCAGTCATTGTAACTGAACAGCAATCAACATATGCTGCAAGGGGTCAACCACGGGTTGTGCAGCTCCAGCCCCTGCACGCTGATTCCTGTTCTGCACGTCTCCAGTGTAGCACAAACCAATGGTCTGACTGCGCTTCACTTCCAGCAGCCAAGCCCCTAGGAGCCCCAGGAGGAGGCCTGTGCTATCGTTACAAGTATTTTGAACCTACACTGCAGGGATTGTCAGGTTTACTGAAGCCAGAAATCTTGGGCATCCCTTCTGATTTGAATCCTCCCCCAAATTCCAATATTCTCCTCTTGTACCAGATGCTTCAAAATACCTCTTCTTTCTTCTATGGCTGTAAATGTGACCCCTGTACATCTGTCAAACAATATCACCTTCCTGCTTTGCATACAATCTCTTCTACTTTCAGTTCTATGCCAGATATAGCATTTCAGAAACTCATCCAATTTGTTAATCTCTGACATTGTTGTCCAACCTTCCACATGCAGCGTTGGCTACTTGCTGGCTTTGAAGGCTGCCTTGTATGCCATGCTCCTCTTCACTGTTGGGGAAGGAGCTGCCGCAGGAGATTGGAGCCATGCAGAGATTTGATATGCTTTCGTCTTCTGTTTTAAGGATTTGGAGTCTTTCATCTCTTTGATTTTCCCAAAATCTTCAGTTTTTCAGTCATGCCAAACAGCCACATGGGAATCCCACACACCACGTGCTTTCCAAAGGGCATTTAATTTCTGTACGTTTCATTTCCTGTGCATAGCAGGCTTTTGCCTTTTGCCGAGTTCACTGTGCTTATATACCTGCCCTAATAGCAGAAGCAACTTTGACTCTTGATGATATGTTTGGTACTGGGGACAACACATTTGAGCTTTAGGAGCACAGAAGCCAATCTGCAGAGCTAAAGATCAAATCTTTCCACTTTCAGCAAGGCTTTTTCTGTGTGACTGGAAAACAGTTTATTCAAGATGAATCACAGGCCAAGACAATTTTGTTAGTCACTCACACTAACCAGAAAACAGGTTAGGTTAATGAGTATAACGGCAGCTTTGTTACGGTCCAACAAAGAGTGGGAAAGCACTGAAAACAGTATTAGGCAGTAAACCGTAGCCAAAGTCAGAGTCTGTAAGGGTCTGTGAGAGGGAAACATTACTAGCTGCTTATCTTGATGCAAATGGATTGTTCAAAATCAGGCGCTTTTGTTAGAGCATAGCATTGCAGCATGTTGCTACTCCAGCCTCAGGGGCACACAGATAGCCTGGTGTGGTCAATTTGGCAGACAAAGTGTTTGGAGGCTGCCAATTATATACAAACCTATTTGCAAACAGACATAAAGTTGAATGGTCTCAAATTCTTTCTTATTAACTGTATCTTCAGGAGCAGAGCAATGGATCTTTGTTCCCCTGTATGTTAATAAAAGCAAATCACAGCTCTCTTTTCAGGTCTCATAAACTCTCCAGGGTCACCTCAGGTTTTGGGAGTTGTCTCTGTCTGTGACCAGGAATTTTCAAATGTCACCATTTTCCTAGCCATTATAACATTTTGTAGCCACACCATTCCTGCTCCTCACTATTCTTTGTTCCTTCAAGGAAACTATTCTGGATCAGTTTGAAATGTTCTAATGGGCTGGAACAACTCTACTTTTTCAGTCAGGAAGGATCACTGCAAAACCAGCAGAAACAAAGGGGAAAACAAGCAAATTGTAAGAGTACGTTTGTATGGAAATAAACATCACGGTTGGTTTCAACCTAGTAGGAGGATCAAATGTCCTTTTTACAAAATTCTCAAAGAAAGACGTTTAAGAAATGACGTACTGAGGCACCTGACAGGAAGAGACAAAGTTGCCAAATGAAATACCCAAGGCCATAAGGAAGCTCCCACTCAGCCTCCTCTGCTCCTGCTTAAGAAGGAGCCGGCTCTCTCAGCACAGTGGCACTTAGCACTGCCTGCAGGAGCCGTGCCCCCCCACCTGGACACACATACCTGGAAGGTGTGGCCCCCAAACTTGTGCCCAGCAAGCAGCAAGAGGCCATGGTGCTGCCTCAGCACTTTCTCAGCACCGATGCTGCAGGCTGAGCACAAGCAGCAGCCATTGGCAGCCTAACTGCACCACAGCCCAGCAGCATGGTGCACCCACGCTGAGCAGCACACGCATCTGTGCAGGGTGAGGGAATGCAGGAAGTGGCTGTGCACTGCATCCGTACACAGCCATGGAGGGAAGGGGGCAAAGGCAGAGGCAACATGCATGGGCGAGGCGGGGGTGAATAGTAGCTCAGTTAATGCCTGACAGCCTGGTCAGTGCCCCATTAAATTAGATCATTCTGTTGTGAGTCAGAATGAACTCATTTTCCTGCTATGCTTGCTGCCTGTGACAGCCCTCAGGCTATTTTAATATTCAAACACCAGTGGTCAAGATGAGAGCTGTTGTTTTTTCCTTTGCTAGTGAAAATGATGAAGTAGGCTTGCATTTCTTTCTGAGCTTCTTGACCCAGCCAACTCAAAATTGGCTGGAGAATGGAAATTGTTCCTCTCTTTGCACAGCTCCTGTGCATAGGGGCAGAATGTCAACTTTGGGAGCAGTATCCCCAGCTAGCTCTTCTTCTCATTAGCAGCATGCCGAACTAATGCCAGTGTTTTCTTGTAACAATAGCACATGAAACTAAGAAGATACAGAACTGGGCAGCAATGGAATAGCCACCTCCCTGCTGCAGGCACACAGTGTTGATGCTAATTTCAAGTCCAGTCCCATGATGGAGCAACCTAGCAGTAAATATGGCAGAAGCAAAAAGGGGTTAATGGAGAAACCACTCTAAAACCTCTTTAGTGGAACACTGGAACAGTCCCTCAGGGAAATGGCAGTGAAGAAACCAGCCACAGTATGTGCTGCACAAAACAGACTTCTGCTTCTCCCTGGCTGTATACTGGAAATAACAGCATTAAAAATACCTAGGTTTTTCTTGCCTTAATAAGCACTTTCTACAGCATGGGCTGCTCTGCACCAATGAGGAACTAGCAGCACTGATGGGGAAAGCCATGCTGGGTCCCATGAGCTGTCTGAGGCACAATGTTGAGACCCAGGAAAATCTTGAGACAAAAGCAGCAGATGATATTCAAAGGGCAGCGGCCAAATAAACCGCGGCAGGCTGGAAAGGCAGGACAGCTCAATGGCAGACTGCAGGAATAGTGGAGCTAAGTGACTCCAGGGCTTGTCTCCAGCAGCTAGAGAAATGCATTAGTTTGGATTGAAGCTCCAATAAATTTCCAATAAAAGCAGTCCTTGGAAGGATGGAGGTTCTGTGGTTATTTCCTGAGATTATTCAAATTAAACTAACAATGCATATATGCTTGATCAAAAAAAGGTTTTTAAAACATCCCTATTTCTGCCTTTTCTCCTTTCTTAACTAAACAATCTGTTGCTTACAGCCCATATATTTCATATCCAGTAGAAGGCTTTATCGTCAGTATCCCTATTAGGTGTTTTTTGTTGTTGTTGTTGTTGTTGTTTTTTTTAATTTCTGCATTTCTGTTGAAGTTCTGCAATCCGATTTCAAACCACTGAAGCAGAGAAGCAAAACGAGAACCAGGATGTGAGCAGAGGATATCTGTACTGCAGCTCAGCGCTGCATGACAGCACTGACATACTGTGAAAGTACTGTGAAAGAAAATGAAGTTCAAAGAGTCCACAGGTTACATGAGCAATCTGATCTGTGAGGAAATGTCAGTTAGAAACGAGCAGCACAAAACAGCTCTGTTTTCCTATTGCTGTGGCTTTGCTTGGTGACGATGACATACAAAGATTAAGTGTAACTGCATGAGCTCCAGTTGTTTATCTCCTTTATTATCATCGCCAGTAAGTGAAGGAGATGTGTGGGTGTCACCTGCAAAAAAAGAAGTTGCATTTCTGAGAGAATAACATCTGCAGATCAGAGAAGGCGAATGGTCTTGTTTAATTCACGCATATTCAGTTTCCTTCCTGTCACTAATCTGCAGCACTGAATTTAGTCTCCTTGATTTCCCTAGCTTTACTATGTTGGGAGAGAGTTCATGAGAGTGGCAGACAGAGTGACTTGAGCAACACCAGGAGTCCGCAGCAGCTACAGATCATTGAGGTCATTCACAAATCACTGAGATAGCCTGGCTCCCACGGCATGGAATTTGATTTTTGCCCCCCTCACTTCCTTTCTGCAGATCTGTGGGGATTTGCAATAAG